CGCTTCCCAGGATCGACGACTTATTTGATCAGTTGACGGGAGCCTGTGTGTTCTCAAAGATTGATTTACGATCAGGCTACCACCAGCTGAAGATTAAAGAGTCAGATATCGCTAAGACTGCTTTCAGGACTCGTTACGGCCATTACGAGGTCGTCGTCATGCCATTCGGTCTCAACAATGCTCCAGCAGTTTTCATGGACCTCATGAACCGTATTTTCCATCCCTACCTCGATAGTTCGTTATTGCCTTTATTGACGATATTCTTATTTACTCGAAGAGCCAGAAGGAGCACGAGGAGCATCTGAGGGTGGTCCTCGAAACCCTCAGACGAGAAAAGTTGTTTGAAAAATTCTCCAAATGCGAGTTCTGGCTCCAGCAAGTATCTTTTCTGGGTCATGTGATTACTCAGGCAGGTATCGAGGTGGATCCTTCCAAGGTCTCAGCTGTTCAGAACTGGTCGATACCAAGGAGTCCGTTCGAAGTTCGCAGTTTTCTTGATTTAGCTGGTTATTATTGCTGGTTTATTGAGGGCTTTTCCAAGATTGCCCTCCCTCTATCCCAACTGACGAGGAAGTCTGTGAGGGATTTTCCAAGATTGCCCTCCCTCTATTCCCGATCCTTCTCGGAGTTTCACCATCTTCAGCGATGCTTCGAGACAGGGCTTGGGATGCGTCCTTATGCAGGATGGACAGGTTGTCGCGTATGCTTCACGTCAGCTTAAGCCGCATGAGCAGAATTATCTGACGCACGACTTGGAGTTAGCAGCAGTCGTTCATGCCCTCAAGATTTGGCGACACTATCTTTACGGCAGTCATTGTGAGATTTTCACAGATCATAAGAGCTTGCAGTATATCTTTACTCAGAAGGAGCTCAACATGAGACAGCGCCGTTGGCTAGAGCTCGTCAAGGATTACGATTGCTCTATTCAGTATCATCCGGGGAAGGCGAACGTCATTGCTGACGCCCTAAGCCGAAAGGTGAGGGGTGACTTGACGTACGTCATTACTCAGCAGAGTTTGTTGATTCAGGAGTTTGCCCGGATGCAGCTTCAGGCGATCGATGCACTTCCCACAGTCATTTCAGGGAGTATCAGTGCCATTGTCAATGCCATGCAGATTCAGCCGACGCTGAGAGAGAGAATCCGGCAAGAGCAGGCTTCTGACGAGTTCGTTCATGTCATGGAGGCCAAGGTTCGCGGCGGAGGCGTCGAGGGTTTTCAGCTAGGTGCCGATGGTGCCCTAGAGTTCAGAGGCAGTATCGTGGTCCCGAAAGTCGAGGCGTTGCGGAAGGAGATTTTATCAGAGGCTCATACCGCACCCTATCTAGCCCATCCCGGGAGCACGAAGATGTATCATGACCTGAAAGGGTCGTTCTGGTGGCGAGGCATGAAGAAGGACATCGCCGAGTTTGTCAGAAGGTGTTTTACCTGTCAACAAGTCAAAGCCGAACATCAGAGTCCGATCGGCCTCTTGCAGCCACTGCCGATTCCGAGGTGGAAGTGGGAGGAAGTCACGATGGATTTCGTTACGGGATTACCGAGGTCGTCTGAACATCACAACGCTATATGGGTCGTGGTCGACAGATTGACTAAGGTCGCACATTTCTTACCCGTTTCGATGAAGATGTCTTTGGATAAGTTGGTTGAGATATATACCGGTGGGATCATTCGACTCCATGGAGTGCCCGTTACTATCATATCAGACAGAGATCCCAGATTCGTCAGTCGATTCTGGCACAACTTACACGAGGCGATGGGCACGAAGCTAGAGTTTAGTTCAGCCTATCATCCAGAGACAGACAATCAGTCAGAGCGGACTATTCAGACGCTTGAGGATATGCTTCGCGCTTTGGTCGTTAACAGGGGTGCCAAGTGGGAGTCGTTATTGCCGTATGCCGAGTTCGCGTACAACAACAACTATCATTCTTCTATTCAGATGGCTCCTTACGAGGCACTTTATGGCCGCAAGTGTCGTTCCCTTCTTTACTGGGACGACGTCGGAGAGCGACGAGTACTCGGTCCTAAGTTGATCGAGGAGACAGCAGATCAGGTCGAGTTGATCCAGCAGAGACTCAAGACAGCTCAGAGTCGACAGAAATCTTCAGCCGATCATCATCGACGAGACATTCAATTCGAGGTTGGCGAGCCAGCTTTTCTAAGAGTTTGTTTGATTCGCGGAGTCGTTCGATTCGGAAAGAGAGGGAAGTTGCACCCTCGATTCATCGGTCCGTTCGAGGTTCTCGAGCGAGTAGGTGAAGTCGCG